CAATAATGGAAGGACTAAATATTTTTCAGTGGAACGCCAACGGACTCACCTCCCACGGCCATGAACTAAAAACTAAATTTAAACTAAATAAAGGCCCTCACATTGCTTGTTTACAGGAAACCAAATTCTCAAAAAAATCAAAATTCACACTACCTAACTACAACTCAGTTAGAACTGACAGAGCTAAACCGAAAACAAGAAGAGCCACAGGAGGACTAATCATATTTATCAGGGAAGATATAAATTACGAAGAAATAAAAATAGACACGCCAAACCTAGAAGCCAACGGCATTAAAATCACATTAAATAACCGAAACATAAACATCATAAATATTTACCACTGGGCGGAACAAAAAGTCCAACCTGAGAATCTAAACAAACTACTCCAAATAAGCGATAAATCTACTATATTCCTAGGAGACTTTAACGCTCACCATCCTACATGGAGCATAGATGATAAAATAGATAATCATGGCAAATTAATCTCCGAATGGATAGAAACAAACGACCTAGTACTCCTTAATAGCAACCAACCCACGAGGTACAATAAGATAAACCAAAAAATGTCGGCTATCGACCTAACCATATGCACCGCAGATCTAGCCCAAAGTACTGAATGGGAAGTGCACGACGTCCCGCTAGGTAGTGAACACTTCCCCATAAACATAACCATAGGAAATACAAACGTACCAATTCAAACAGAAAACCAAGAACCAAAATTCCATTACAATAAAGCTAACTGGGACCAATTCCAAGATATCTGCAACGAAGCTAACTTAAACGAAATAGAAAATAATGATCCAGAAACCTATTGTAAAAACCTAACAGACTATATAATAAACGCAGCCAAAACCTCCATCCCCTTCAAAACATCTAAGACAGGCAAACCGACGATACCATGGTGGAATGAGGAAATAGAACAGACTAGACGAAAACGTAAATCAGCCTTCAATAAAGCAAAATGCGACTACAAATATTTAAACATAGCCCACGAACTTAACCATCAGGTCCAAAAACTAGTCCAAATAGCCAAAAGTAGAGACTGGAAAAAATTCTGCGAAGGTATAAATAACCGTACAGATGCCAGAATGGTCTGGCGCAAAATCCACGCCATCAGAGGCTTAAAACGACATAAAAAAAACTAACATTGACAACTCAACCAACCCCGCCAAAAAAGCAAATAATCTCGCCAACCACTTTTCGGCCGTTAGCAGTAACACCAACTTCAGTCAAAAATTCCAAGATAAACTTAAAACAGAAAACAAACCCACAAAAGAACCAAACAATAACAATCTAGAAATAAATCAACCCTACACAATGGAGGAGCTCCTCTACGTAATCAAAAACAGGAAAAAGGGCACAGCCCCAGGATTAGACCTAACTTCTTACCAAATAATTAAAAAACTCCCCCTTAAACTACTCCAGGCACTACTCAAACTATACAATCTCATCTACCTAAACGGACAGGTTCCTACTCCCTGGAAACAGGCCCTAGTCATACCAATCCCTAAACCTAATAAACCAGCTAATCAAGCTTACTCATATAGACCAATATCCCTAACTTCAAACTTATGTAAAGTAATAGAATCAATGGCTAAAAATAGATTACAACATTACTTAACCCAAAATAACATCATAAACCCAGATCAAAGCGGTTTTACTCCTGGCCGCTCAACCCTAGATAACCACGCCCGACTAGAACAAGATATTAAGACAGGACAACTAAATAAACAATATACCACAGGCATCTTCTTAGACTTCTCTAAAGCTTTCGACATGGTATGGCACGATGGGTTAATACAAAAACTTTAAAAAATTTCTTAATAAAATACAACAATGGGCTGACAAATGGGGCTTCTCCCTTAACTCAGAAAAAACAACAGGAATAATATTCAAACATAAAAACATGAAACCCGCCTCCCCAATCCTCCAGCTATACAATCAAACAATCAAATTTCAAAAACAAACCAAATTCTTAGGACTTATTTTCGATGAACATCTCACCTGGGATGCTCACATCCAAAACCTAACAACTAAATGCAGTAAAGACCTAAACACCCTAAGATGCCTAACTGGCTCTGACTGGGGAGCCTCCAAAGATACCCTCCTCTCTCTCTACATATCACTAATTAGATCAAAACTAGACTACGGCTGCGCCATATACAACACCCTAAACAACTCTCTATCTAAAAAACTTGACTCAATACAATATCAGGCTCTCAAACTAATTACACGCACCCAACATGGCACCTCCTACACCTCACTTCAGGCCTTAACAGGAGAAATGCCACTAGGTCTACGCAGGGAACAGCTAAGCTTAAATTTCTGGGCCGCGTCCCAATCAAACCCTCTCATCCAAAACTTAATAAACTAAAACATCAGCCCCAAAGACCAAGCTCTAGCTCGTAAAGACCCCTTACTTACCCCAATATCCCAAAGAATAACAAGCTACCTAAATGAACACCAAATTAAAAATCTTAAACAAAACTGCAAACAATCAAATATCTTCACCCCTAAACCTAAAATACCCAAAATAGACACAACACTAGCTAGCCAAATAAACAAACAAACCGACCCAAACATAGCTAAAACCACCACACTAGCATACATACACGAAAATTGGCCAAATTTGTGTCACATTTACACGGACGGATCCTCAGATCCGACCTCCAAACACACAGGTTTCGGAGTCCATACCACACAACCAACTAAAACCACACAATCCTTCCGACTCCCAAACAACCAATCAATATTCACGGCAGAACTAATGGGCATGGCCTCAGCCCTCCATAATCAAGAATCCAAAAACCACAAAAAAATCCTAATACTTACCGACTCCCTAAGCCGACTGCAAGCCCTCCAAAACAAAAATACCAAAAACCGACCTAAATTAATAAATCAAATACTTAAAAGCTCCAACGACCTAACTAAGGCAGGCAAACAAATAACCCTTCTTGTGGATACCCGCCCACGTAGGAATATACGGTAATGAAAACGCCGATAAAGCAGCTAAACTATCCCTCAAAATCCCAGAAATAAGCTTAAACTTACCCATCTCAAATTCAGAAATTAAAAGTGTAAACAAGCAAAAAATCACACAAAAATGGCATAACCTATATCTAAACTCAAATAGCCAAATCAAAAAAGTGCTCAGCAAACCACTTACCAAACCAAAAATTCTCCATCCTTCAAAAAGAATCGACAGAGTAATCACTAAACTCCAAACAGGACACACCAACCTAAATAACCACCTAAAAAAAAAAACCACACTACAGGTAACTGCCCACACTGCAAACAACCAGAAACCCCAGAACACGCACTCATCCACTGCACACACTACCTAACACATCGAACCGCATTACAAACCACCCTCAATCTAAACAAGGCTCTCACTCTAGAAGCAATACTGAACCCACAAAATAAACTAGAAAACTTCAAGGCTTTAGGCGTATTCTTAATAAAAACGGAACTAATAAAACGCATCTAAAAACACAATAACCTACCAAATCAAAATCACACAAACAAACAAACATCCACCATACCCAGCTCTCTTAGTTCTCCTCCCTAACCCCATCGGCATCTATTCCAAATCTCAAAATTCCCAAATTCTATATAAGCAACCCCTAAACCCCCCTCTTGGGTTGCACAGACCACTTTCGCCCCTTTCGGAAACACATTAAATGGCCTGTCCGGGCCCGTGTGCGAAATACGCATCAGTCGGAAAGCGCACGTTAAATCTCCAAAGTAAGTAAGTAAGTAAGTAAGCTTACAGTGGTCACATGTATGCCCGTGCCTGTCCTATGTAGGTGTTCCAGTCGGTCTCATTGTGTCGGCTCGCAGTTCGTCTATGGTATGATCTCTTGCTAGGATCCTGGACTTGGATTGTGGCAAGGCTTTTCCAGGAACATATCTCTGTCCATTAACATATAGCCTGTCCACAGTCAGTGCAACTCTATCTCCTGCTCTATTCGCTGTTCTCCTCGCTGGGTACAGTAGTTTGCGCCTTTCCTCTATCTCCTTAGGGAATTGTTCGTTAACATAGTATTTCTTTCCCTTTAGTTGATCAAACGCTGCTTGTCTTACACGTTGACGCTCCTTGAAATCACCGAACTTTGCAATAATCGGCCTAGGTCTCTGATCATTCAATCTTCTGGCTCCATTTCTATGTACACGCACTAAGTTTAGATCCTGTTCAATTTTCACGGTTCGTGTCACGGTAATAACTGCGTTAATTACATAGTCTGGATGTCTATACAATGGTCATTTAAGGTAATTTACAGGTAAAGAAATCAAAAGATTTGATTTTAAATAGACACTGGCGATAGTATATTGTTGATGTTAATTAGGTTTGCTAGGTCAGCTTGGCCGTGACATGATGGGTAATTAAAATGACATTTCAATGTTAGCAACTGTATAGAAATAATAACATGAAATATATGGCAAATATGTGCAAAATATATACATACAAATAAAGTAAATATATGCAAAATATATACATCCAAATTAATATAAATATGTGAAATATTTTATCATAAATTGTGCACTGTCACACTTTCCAAAGGAAGCCTTGGACATCACGTGCGTAAAGAGACCAGCGCCGTCTGATTGGCCAATATCAGTTGTACAAGGCGGAGCAAAAAGCATCGTTTTTCCGTCCATTTTACGCTTGAAAGACTCGACGCTCTTCTGGACACTTTCTGGGCTCTCACCAATTAATCAGATTTGACGACCATATGCGAAAAAACCCGATGTTTTCGTGTTTGCAGTGTTATGTACTGGTATATCACAACAGCCTGTGATTCGAATAAGCAAATTATTTCATTGCATGGGCAACGAACTACACAATGCTAGTTAAGTGCATTTGTTATTTGGGGCCTTTTTGCAAGTATGTCGTTTTAAAGAGATTATATTATTTTGTTTGGGCGACCAAACATTAAGTCAGTTCGGTACATGCACACACCAGTGATACATTGTTTACATCACACTGTCATGGCTTTCATATATAACAAAATATCTTGTCAACGCTGATGCGCCCGTTGATAATGTATTCTCCCTTGGACTATTTCTGTGCACTACGTCCAGCGCTGGCAAATCCTGTCTGCTGAATAGTGAGCAAACAACGGAATGAAGGTATGTTTCCCTTTATGTTTAAACGGATAAGCGAGATAGGGGTGTGTAGGGGTTCGCATCCTCAAGCTTACGTTGGTTTGGGTGGTTGGTTTGTTGTTTAACGCCACACTCAGCAATATTCCAACTATATGACGGCGGTCTGTAAATAATAGAGTCTGGACCAGACAATCCAGTGATTAATATCATAAGCATCAATCCACGCAATTGGGATCGATGACATGCATCAACCAAGTCAGCGAGCCTGACCACCCGATCCCGTTAGTCGCCTTTTACGACAAGCATGGGCCAAGCTTACGTACAAAAAACATGAAACCAAATCATTTTGTGGCATGTTTTCATCCAAAATAACAATTACTTGAACAACGAAATTTTTTTTCTCCGAAATATGTGCCATCATTTCTGTGATTTACGTACTCTCACCCTTTTCCAAAAAGCTGTATTCGTGCATGGATGTGTATACTTACATGGTTCTGTCGATCACAAGGGATTTTTATTATCATTCAACGTCTTTAAAGGATCTTTTTAATAATATCAACGTTCATTTAATTCTCGGATTTTTAAAGTTATTTGATAAATTTTGAATTTTGAATTGTTTAGTGTGATATTATTAACAACTGATATTATTGAAGGCGGTGCTACTCAGGGGGTTAAAGTAGCATAAAATTATTGTCCTCTTGACTCTGGCAAGCAAGTCCATCTAAATAAAAGTGTGTAATATCAACTAGTGTTTTAACTACTTGACTATGGTTTGATCTTTTAATATTGGTTAGCATTGAAGATGACCACTTGTGACCAAAGTGATGACATAAATCCTGCTGGGAATCATGCAGGTAGCAAAGGCACTGTAAGTCCCCATGATCCCCAGTTAGGTGGTCTAGCTTTGGTTGCCAGAGGTATATAGCCCAGTTTTAACTTGTACCAAATCTACTGAAGAATTCTTTGTTTTTATTGTGAACTGGTTTGTTTTATACCTTAACTGTGATACATGACTTACTGTTTTACTGTCCTTTGTCGACGGATATTTTATCATAATTAACTTGTTTTCATCGCAATATGGCTGCAATATTGCCGATGCGATGTAAAATTTTAACTCACTCACTGGTTCTGTCGACCAGAGAGTGTCGCGAGAGCCTTCTGGAATAGGGACTGGGGGATCGGGCTGTGTGACAGATTGACTTTCAATCATGAATATATACGGTAAATAGCTAGAGATTCTGGAGCAGATTATATATTTTCCCCAGTAACATCCGACATTATAGAAAAGCCCCGCACCTCTTCGTGCCTTCCTCCCACTTTAAGGGGATATGCCCTAATATTATTGTTATAATGTCGAAAGCGGCGTTAAAACCAAATTCTTTCATCACTCAAAAACGAGTGGAGTAGACAGAGTGGTACACGCGGGACTCTATTTGTAGATAGAATGTGTCCAAACGTAGTTCCAAAGAAAAGGGGGCACGGGTGGCCCAGTTGTCTAAGGCGCCACGATTCACTGCGCAGAGTTGCGCCCCTTGGACACGCCAGAAATCAATGATTGTGGATTCGAATCCCGGTTCGCCCCGATTATATTTTGTCAGCACCATACCCGTGCTCGTGGGTTTCACCGAAGTGGTAAACGTCTAAGACCTGCATCACTTCGGGCCTTCCTCCCACATTAAGCTGACACGCCGTGATATAACTGGAATACTGTTAAAACGGCGTTAAACCCAACTCACTCACTCCAATGAGGACACCTGCATGTGCCTGTCTGGTATGCCTATAACGTGCACACAGGTTATAATAGGATACCGGCAAAAAGTTTGTTTTGTTCATTTTACTCAAAACATTGAAACCATATATAACAAATTACATCATCATTGAATTTCTAATTTCATTGTTTTGAGACTGTAAGTACTAAGCAATCGTATCTTAACTGTTAACAACTGGAAAAGGTCTCAATGTACGGTATTTGTCAATTCCAATTTCCAAACAGATCGATATTACAATGTCTTCAATATATAATGATAAATACAAAAGGCTCACAGCTTTGTTGGGAAGTATAAAAAAGTGAACCCTTTCCAAAGTGGCTGAGCAGTAAGCTATAGTATCGAGGTAGACATTGGTTTACAATGTGTACTACAGTGCTGATCTAATATTAGGAGAACAGTATTGATACAACGCATGGGACAGGTTCACAACACTCTGTCAGAGAGATGAGTGTACATTCTAGATGGCAATTCCTTTGAGTGTCAGAGTGACACAATACTCTAAACAAGAATATATAACTTTCCAGTAGTCAACTTCCCCTTCATGTCGAGCAATATTCGAGCAGCTCTACATTTGTCTTTGGTGTCTACATTTCACAACTTTTGAGCTACAATTGAGCATGCTCTCTCTCTATCAAGATTCAAGGAACGCCCTACGACTCTTGCTCAAAAGTTGGTTGATTAAGGGTACACCATAAACGGCCTTTGTTTAGCTTTGCAAAAGTTTTATGGGAGAGTAGCAGGATACACTCGACATCGATTTGTGCGTGCGTGCGTGCGTGCGTGCGTGGTGCGTGCGTGCGTGCGTGCGTGCGTGTGGTTTCGACCTAAGGACAATATCTGCAGGATACACTCGACATCTATTTGTACTGTTTAAGTTCGTCATGAGGTTATCTTTAGGTCTTGTGGTAGAGCGTCCGCCCGGAGAGCGGAAGGTCCGGGGTTCGATCCCCGGCCGCGTCATACCAAAAGACGTTAAAAGATGGTACTTGTTGTTACCCTGTCTGGCGCCCGGCATTAAGGGGCTAAAACAAGACTGGTCGGTTCGGAGTCAGTATGCTGTGTCTGAGGAAAGTATTCATGTTAAACTGCGGCATGGTATCTCAGTGAGCTAGCACTATAAATCGGCATCAGTCCGGACCAGCAAAAGCAGACACACACACACACACACACACACACACACACACACACACACACACACACACACACACACACACATGTGTATGCACGTCGCTATATAAGTGCAATGATCTTTGACCCGACGTTAAACCCAATTTCACCTCACCTTATAGCAGTTGTGACAATATGTCAGGTCGGGGTAGAGAGCCTCCATAGGAGCGATTGTGTCTCCACACTGTTTACAATTTCCCATGTGACACATGTCAGCAAAATGCATCTCATTTTTATTTATAACCAGCAGCATTTCTACACTACACTAGGGCAGGACATGCTAACCCTATTCACGAACACCTGGCGTCATCTCTAATTTTCAGTGCTATTTTTTCTGTGTGGAATCTATTTCGAAGGACAATCGAGACTGGTTATTCCCTGGCGTTGACGTTTTATATTTACTTTCATAACAAACACATACTACCATAACTCCATTAGGCATACTACATGTATGGTCAGACCCTTGAAGATCCGGGGTAGAATAGGTCTTCAGCAACCCATGCTTGCCGTAAAACGCGACTATGGCTTGTTGTAAGAGGCGACTAACTGATCGGACGGTCAGACTCGCTGACATTGTTGATGCGTGTCATCGATCCCAATTGCCTGGATCGATGCTTGTGATATCAATCACTGGATTGTCTGGTACTGACTCGATTATTGTTCAGACCGCCGTCATATAGCTGGAATATTGCTGAGTGCGGTGTTAAACAACAAACAAACATGTATTGTCAACAAAGACACCCAGTTAGGTTTTCGTTCTGTTGCTTCGACCTCAACCAATTCCCAAAATTATTTTGCTCATTATCTTTTGGAAAAAGCCATTAGGACCATTACATCGATTTGGCGTGTGACAAAGGGTTTCTAAAGCAAGGTACGCCTCAGTTGGCAAAGTATCATCCTTTAAATAATCGAGTCTGTGAAAGTGACATCAGCGGTTGCTAGCATGAGCAAATAACCATGTCGGGGTACGAAGGCCCCCGATCAGCTGTATACAACACAGTAAACACATGGTCCGGGATGTTAGTTGGCTCTTGCAACTCGTTTGGTGAACAGAGACAAATAATGTGTTTTCAGACTTTTTTCAAGACCAACATTTTTTGTCTGTAATGTAGGATCGAACATTTTCTTTTGTTTATTTAACCCACTAAGATTTACTAACATGTTCGTTTCAAGTTTCTTGGTACTGATTGCGCGTAATAAGATTAGTAACTAAAGTAGTTAGAGTTTTGGCGTGGCCAATAATTATTTTTCATTGAGTAATAAACATGTAGGTTCGAACTTCGTTAATAGATGTCTGGAAATTGACAGATGTTAATATACATTTGTGTAAAAGAATTAAACTTCTAGCCACATACATTAACTCATGATTGAGTTAATATGTATCTTTTTCCGAGACTAGAATGCAGTTTTCGCTAAAATGCAGCTATATGACAGTAAAAACAAATGTTACGATTTGTTGTTGACAAGAGGTGAATAATGACCCAGAGACTCAGTATTCCTGAGTCTGGAAGTAATTATTGTGTCTATGTTACTCATTTAAAGTCTATTTTTAACCCTCAATGTTGTCACTTTTTTTCAGGCCTTAGCATGTCTCCGCCGACATGCGTTGCTACCAGCAACACTCGTCTCTGTGGTTCTGGGATTTACGATCGGACTACTATGCCGTCAGCTGAACCCTTCCCCTGACGTCGTCATCCTCATCTCATTTCCTGGGGAAGTGTTTCTGCGGATGTTGAAGATGATGATTTTGCCTCTGGTAGTTTCCAGCATCATGACTGGTAATTTTAAATTTAATAGATTTCAACATTGTAAGCAATTTAGTTTTTATAACTTTTATGTGGGATTGGTATTTGTTGATACAATTTGTTTTGTGGCAATCTCTAATATTTGAACAAAAACATATATTATGATTAGGCTCGAAAATACTTGTACATACTAAATGGCAGTGTTCCATTTCCTTCATGAGGTAAGTTAGTGTTGTTGTTCTATGAATCCTAATGAATACTAGTAAATAATAATTCTTTGACGTTGTATGGGTGCAGACCTTGTAAGAGCTTATTCCAGGAATAGTCATCAGGTAAATATACTTATGGCAACATTTAGTGTACTGCCACAAACGTCCTGATAATTATTTAGGTGTTATTCTGTGCATGGGTTTTATTGTACAACTGGGATGGTACAGAGATAGGACACAGGATGCAGTGTAGTGAGGTTATATTTATGACGGAAGTCAGAACAAACGCCCTGAAACAAGTACGTCATGGTATCATCAGTATCAGAATACACGCAGAATGGTATCATATATATAATTACACGCACATACAAAATACAATCATACCCTGTGGGTGACGTTGGGAACTATGAGCAAATACATACACGGTAAGTAAATATGCATTCACTCACTCATTCGCAAATAGGGATATAGACAGGGTGAAGATATATAGTGCTGGATAGCTTTAAACTATTTACAAACTTATTGAGCTGGTTGACCACAACTATTTGTCCATATGTATGATAATATAACTGATTACACAAATATGTACAAAACGTATTAACAATGCATATAAAATATATCTGTAATGGGGAAAGCAGTGGTCAACTTAAACACCGCGCTCAGGACGGTAATGTCAGTCAACGTGATAAAGGTGTAAGGAAGTGTGTGCAGGTGAATTCTGAGTGCTGGAACAGTATTTTAACAAGACAAATAAGGGGTAAGCTGACTTGAACAATGAAAACTACTTAATATACCCACATCCAATAACAGCTGAAACTAACTTAAATGCTAATAGATCACTGATTGAGAAAAAACGTCAACACGTCAGAGACCAGTCTCGATTATCTGACGAAAAAGATTCCGTTGAGTGGGAAAGGTAAAATAGCGGTGAAAAGTATATGGATGGATCACTGACAATCAGTGTTAACACCAGATGTTGGTGAAAAGGGTAAGCCTGTCCTGCTCCTGTGAGAAGCATCCGCCACTCACACAATCTTCATAAAAAATATGTGCTTGTTAACTGACACCGCACAACAGTACACTTGCCATGCGACGGCAGCATGTCAACAAACCAGAACATCAAGTGATGGATCAGAAATTCAGTCATATGATAGAGCATTTACTGATTTTTTGAAATTGGAAATTTGTTAATTTTGAATTATTAAAACAGTTATTCTTCTGTCAGCGCTATTGAGAACATCCGCGGTACAGATGTACTTCATTTAAAGCAACACTATGCGTTCAAATACCAATGCATCAGTTCAGTACACTATATAGAAATATACAAATTGCCGAACTGTGCATTTCAAGCTCTAAGAACAAAACGTGTTGCAATTTTAGGGCGTATTGTGGTGATGATATTATTTACTACACTACCTTAAGACTGGGAAAATAAGCACATTCCTTTAAGCCAGAGTGGTATCAAAAGAGCCCATTCCCCTAATCTATATTATGATTATGGAATGTTTTTAATTCTTTAATTCCCCCTCCATACAGTAAGCACATGTCACATCTGAGATCAAAATGAAAAACTCTAGCAGATTTAAATGATGTCGTATTACGTCCAATAACAGGCAGCAGAGGCAACATTGTAAGGTATTTATTTTGTCATCCACGCATTATAATGTATGTGAATATCGTTAGCTGTGTGCCATGGCTGCCCACATGGTTATACTAACATAGGCGGAGTTAAGTCCCTAACCGTATGTCATTCACAAGACAACTTGCCTACACACACAATCCTCGCCTTTGCTTAATGCCAATCATGACAATTTGTCAAAATCACTCACCTTTCATATAAACTGCTAAACCTTATCAACTCAACTCTAAGCTAGTTTACGTACATTGGTCTCGTCATAAATATTCATAATAAACAATCTGTTCCTAATTAATATCCTAAAGAAAGTCTTTTTATTGTTGATAGTGTCATGAACCGAACTTAATAAATAAATACATCGTGTGACACAGAAACTACGAGTTTGGAATCTGCAACTCAGGTAAACAGTTTGTGTTTGTTTCTGGAGGTCGAGGCACTCAGCTCGACCTTCTTAATAGAAGCGTCATTTCCGCTGAACTAGTGTACATGTATGTGTCAAGGTCCATGTACAAGTCATCGGGGGGCACGGGGGCCCAGTCGTCTAATTTTCCGCGATTCGTTGTGCAGAGTTGCGACCCTTGGCCACGCCAGAAACCTATGATTGTGGGTTCGAATCCCGGTTCGCCCCGATTATGTTTCTAGGTTTGTCTGCACCATACCCTTGCTCGTGGGTTTCACTGAAGTGGTAAACGTCTGAGACCTGCATCACTTCGGACTTTCCTCCAACATTAAGCTGACACGCCGTGATATAACTGGAATACTGTTAAAAGCGGCGTTAAACCCAACTCACTCACTCACTCACTAGAAGTCATCGTCTGTGACATTGACCTAGTCGGTGTGTCCCATTAACTGCGATGGATGTTTCGGATGTGAAATTGCCTTACATCGTGGTGTTCTTCACAGGTACAACCTCCTGCCAACATATGTCTCTGATGGTCTAAACTCTCAGTCCAAGTAAGAAACAGCGTTGTTGAAGTATGGTTTCAGTCCTCAACATACCACTGCTGGCCATGTGCGAGTGAAGTGCAAATCTCGTGAGATCTATTTCCGTGAACTTTTTTTCAACCAGCCATGACTCCAAATAACTCATCTAAAACTGCTCCGTATATTCATACCATCCCATTAGCTTTTTGAAGGTATACAAGTGGTCGCCACGTCACTGAATTCTTATGGACCGCTGTTGGGCACAGAGCAAAAAGCATCATTGTTGCTTTGATAAACGTAGGTACTGTTCCCCCTTTACGTGTGGTGTGGCTTTCATTATTTCTGCAGTCCCAGGTTCCTTCTGAAATACATCAGGGTATTGTTCCATGATAAATTGAATGGGGACCTGACTGGATGTTATTTTGTCCATATGACATTATACTTTGCCAATCAAGTCTGAAGAACTTGAATATACATGTTCTCCTGAGAGTGGAGGAGTATTGACAATCACCATCTGCAACTGGCATAGGCAAACTAGCTGTCTGACCATTAAGAGCATTCTCTAGTTTGTTTGCTCTTTGACGCCGCACTCGGGAATACTCCAGCTATACGATGACAGGCTGTAAATGACATCAAAAACATCGATCAACGCTACTGGGATACACTGAAATGCATCTGCAAAATCGGTGAGACTGATAACCCAATCTCGTTAGTCGCCACTTATGACAAGCATGGGTGGCTATACACCCGTGCCTTCACTCGGACATTCTCTGGTTTTATATCCACATTCCTCACTTGTGTGATTCTGAAATCCACATCTGAAACAAGGTTTCCCAGATTTTTGCCATCTCCCTTTGACCAATTTGGTTCACTGAACCACTTGAATGGAATCCATGGTTGCCACTATTGCTTCGGTGACCACCACTCGTTTGATACAAATTAAGGAAAGCAAATTCCTCTTCAAAAGTCTTATCTGTTCAAAGGTAAAGTCTCTTGATAGTCATTTCCTCTGTTTGTGTTCTGAGTCGACAAATATACCTGTCATTCAAACCTTCCTCCAACGTGTCAATAATATGAGGTTGCAATTTTCTTAGATGAAACCGTTGCAACAGCGTTTTCCTCCTGGTTGCATTGACTTGTTTTGTTTTAATTGTTTTTTCTTGTGTTTGTATATGTAGGGGGTCGGTCGATGAGTTAAATGTGGCAGTGTGGGTGTGGCTTATCTCGAATACTACTGTCTGAGGCATAACACAAACTCTCGCTCATCAACAAATGTACACATTTTTCTTGTAGGTCTTGCTAACCTTAATAGCAAGTCAGCTGGACAGATTGGTGTGTATACCATTATCTACTACATCGCTACCACATTATTGGCAACAATGATTGGCCTCATGCTCGTTCTCACCATTAGACCAGGCAAGGTTGCCAACAACAACGTCATGAGTGCCAGGTCATCAGGAGTTGCCCCTTCCGCCTCAGCTAGAGACGTGTTCCTGGATTTAGTCAGGTTAGTTATATTGGAATTGCTGATAATGTCGCCGAAATATTTATAAAAAAAACTAGTTATGTATCCGACTATTCAAAAACATGCGACCAAAGTTGTTCCAGGGTGTTTCTTCTAAAGGTATTCAGGTTCATAATATTGATTAAAGAAATATCTAGTTTTGCGGCTGTAACATATCTCCAGACAAAAGTACAATTTGTTGTGATACCTTTATCACAAGACGTAACTGGAGGTTAAGACGAGGATGTTAAAATAGCGTAAAGATAGTGTTCCACTGTGTGACACGTAATTCCTATCATAAACAATATATCATTAACCAGATTGTCCACAACCACCAGCAAATTAGTGATGGCGTAAACCGTGGGATATCGTGCAGGAGGTAGACGCATACCTGTAGTTTTAAAGAGTTACATGAACAATATTGCTATGATAGAATATGTTTGACAGATTGCTCTTAAACATATCTTTAATAATTTGTAATGTTATAACTTGTTCATAACATTTGTAACAATGCAAACACCTTTCGTTTATTATGAAAATATCCTTAATGTCCATACTCGTCTGGATGTTGGTTATTTAACACTGACCTCTATGTAATCCTCTGCAGGAACCTTTTCCCCGAAAATGTTGTTCAGGCGAGCTTTCAGACAAGTGGCACTGTGTATGTACAGAAGCACTCAGGAGTATCTCTGCTAGATAATAACTCTACAGCTGCAAATACTTCCACGTCCAACAGTTCGAATGATACATCATCAGTTCAAAGCAGAGAAGATGTATGGGCTCCAAAATCTGTCTACAGGCCAGGAATGAACATGTTAGGTATGATGGCGTTAGTAGTTCCATGTTCAATGTACAAGGGATGGCTGAAAAGTTCTGAGTCTAACTATGATGGAATGCGTGGAAATGTTTAATCATTAACCCCTCTGGGGTCCACACACTTCTGCCAACGACGCTAAAGTGCCCGCATATGAGATTCAGCATTAAATATGTTATCTTTTGTTATCATGACATTGTTTTGGATTGTCTTTCATCTACAGGGATATTGAGCTACTTCGTGTTCTTTGGTGTAATCCTTGGTCGCCTCGGGGAAAAGGGAAAAGTGGTGCTGCGTTTCTTCACTGTAGTTAATGACACTACAATTAAGATGATAAGGTTAATTTTGTGGTGAGTATTATACTAAACAAACATTGTATAGTTTGGTCCGACTGAATCATCTTTGACTACATGGAGAGTTAACGCCATGGCGCCTTGTCCATCCTCGGTTGTTGTAAAGGTAACTTTAAGGAAATTAAGCTTGATGTGTGCCACAAATAATGTCTCCTGATTGATTAAAAGCTGGCTGCAGCATTTTCCACTGCAATATATTGACACAACCGGGATATGTGACCCTGCAGTTTTTTTTAACTTCACATCCTGCATACATATTATCTATTTGCAGTATTTCAGGTTTCTTTCTGAAATCACCAGATATTTTCAGATGAAATGTTGTGCACCCGGACCAAGCAATATAGAATATGTTTACAACAAGAAACATCAGCATATTGGACATTCATTATTTGTTTTCCTTTAACTCATCCCTTTCTCGATTAATTTTGTTAACAGTAATTTGATCTGCAAAGAAACTCTTGTTACGTTTTGTTGTGTATTTTGGGATTGGGACAATCATTAATTTCTGTCCAGCCACGTATTTTCCAGCAGCTGACGTTAAAGCAAACAACGCTTTATCAAATCTTGTTTTCAATCCGTGTGCCCGTGGAGATTCCGGGTCAAAACAGGGCGAGAGATAATTGTTGACCTTGATCAATCGATGTTATTGTGCTCAGATGGCGTTAACAATGCTTTTCATCAATTGTTTCTCTATTTCGTTTTCTGCAGCCGTGATCAAACTAAAATATTCAGTAATTAAAAATTCATTCTTGTAGCTGATCATGTTGTAACGATGTCCCGTTATTGAATGTACATGATTTACACTACTGGGATTGCTATCAATCATATCGATGAATAAACTTTGTTTTCAACTTTGGATCAGCATCTGAAAAATGTAACTCTGAAATATTTATCTTTTTTAGGTATTCTCCAATCGGGATTATGTTCCTGATTATGGGGAAGATTCTGGAAGTCAAGAACCTCGCTGAAACCGCCCAACAGCTTGCCGTCTACATAATGACAACTTTGATAGGTCTCGGAATCCATGTTCTTATAGTCCTTCCTCTACTGCATCTTGCCTTGACGAGAAAGAATCCTTACAAAATCATGAAAGGAATACCACAGGCCGTTTTAACGGTTGCTGCAACAGCTTCCAGGTGACTATTTGAAATACATCTGAAATGACAAACACTTATTTTATCATTTGTTTACATCTATCGATAGCGTCAATAGAGTAGCGCGGCACCGATTTTAACTCATGATTTAACGCTTCAATTGTTTTCGTTAAATTGTGTTCGCGCCATCCATGCTAATAGTGAATCTTTAGAAAATTTGTAATCGATTATTTCCCCACTAACTACAGTCTGGCAATCTATTAAAGTATACAACTCAAGTTTTGATGGTGTCATGTAAGTAACGTCTTGATATATACAGTCAGTGAGTATGCCGCTTTTACCAATATTCCAGTACATCATGTTCAATATCATGACAGAGGACACCAGGAATGGGCCTCACGCACTGTACCAATCTTGATAAAAGCAATGTTCCTTCCAAATGATTATTAATATATAATAACCCTTTATGCGGTCAGGTTCTGCTGTTGTGTGTTTATGAACCAGGATTTCAGGTTGTCTTTATATAAGGATTATAACGAATGAATGTTTATGTTTAGCTCTGCAACCTTACCCATTACTATTCGATGTTGCGAAGAGAACTTGAAGATTAACACTGCCATCACTCGTTTTGTGCTGCCGATAGGGGCAACCATCAACATGGATGGTACCGCCATCTTCCAAGTCATCTCTGCCGTTTATATTGCCCAGATACGTAGAATACCCCTTCACTTCATCGAAGTCATAGTATTAAGGTAAATTAACCTATTTGTACATGCTGAGGGTCTGACGACATGTAGCGAATCTAACTAGAACGGTGTCTGATATAGAACAAAATATCCCCGAGATGTAACGAGGAGGTTTGCAACATTATTGATGAAAGTTGGATATATTTGGTGTCAATCAAAATATAATTAATAATCAAACCTAAAAAATATTCAAAATCTATACGGACGGATGAGACTATCATACAATTTAAAAAGATTCACCACAGCTCGAGTTCACTTCACTCGTCATTTCCAGTGTAAAAGACCACATTTAGGTGATTACAGAAGTTAACGACAAAGCCACCCCTGTCTGTTTATTCATCATCTATTATAAATGCACATGCTACTGTCCTACAACAATACACATTTGCACTTTCCAGATATTCAGAGATATGTTTTATTGAAAGCATCGAAAATTTTATATTGCATTTAAGATAATATGAACAAAATACACTCACATATCGTACCATCTAAACAACAAATTCTTTCGCCGCTTTGAGTTCATTATCAAATGGCCATGTGTTTCAGTTTGTGTACAGTGTTGGGCAGTGTAGGCGTGGCGGGAGTGCCCAACTCGGCTATAATGGTATTGATGGTGATCCTGTCATCTGTAGGTCTTCCTGTAGAAGACATCTCCGTCTTGCTGGCAGTCGACTGGTTCCTGTAAGCAAGAGGACTATACATTTTAATCAATGATGCATAAATGAAAATGTTTTTTTAGGAATCTGTGAAACCATAGGACATTGGAAGCTAATTTGTTATTATTAAAAGAGAGACAAGTCTATGCAAGGCAATGATATTTAACATGCAGATGGTTTACATGTCATAAGAAATCTGCGTAAATATTTCAACAATGGTATGTCTTGTGATAACCACTCTCTAAAACTATAACCAGGACGGAAAGAATACTGTTGTGAAATATTATTCAGAAAGAACGAAGTGTGTGTTAAGGTTACTTTTTTGTCCTGTCAAAATATAAAGTTGATTGTTTTTAGTACGTTGCTTTAAAGTTTATAGCACAAATTTATATGACAAATTAAAGGAGGAAGATATTGACATGGACAACGTATCATACAATTGACGGGTTGGAGAAAACCACATTTTTCGGTGGTGTATAAACAAAAGGGAGGTCACTCGTACAAGCAGGAGTTATATGTGTCTCCGTTGTCGTGTTTCCGATTATGCCCTTAGTCATGGTGCATTCTGTCTTTGGTCCAAATATTAATTCGCCATACAAAAGACCTAGGGTAAATCAAATGTTTTCATATTTGTTTATTTCCATCTTTTCAAACGTTATTTCCAAGGAAATTTCCCCAGCTGTAGATGGGCCCATAGTCTGGAAAGTCAGTAGTTGTATTATGCTGTAAGTTGTCAGTAGTTGTAAGGCCCTCCCCTCCCCTGTCATATATGGTTATCAAAACTAGAAGGCCCACATTTGTATATCACCACGCTTCATTATGTTAGCATAGTGCTGATAACCAATTTTTAAAATGTGGGTATGCTTTTTACAAATCAGTATATATTCTGATAAAAACACGTGGACATCTACTTGAAGATCGCGAAGCTTGATTCTAAGTTGGCTTTGTGTTTATATTATATCCTTTTGATATGTTGAATGGACATATTTTGGAACATCATTTTGTGTCATGTGACCACCACGAAGGTACAAAAAGTCTATTAAGTTTGAACAGCATGTCCAACTGATCACTCTTATTCGATAACAAGAATTTTGCAAAACTTCCTTCAAATTTCTATCGAAAGGTATTGCAACTGCTTGTTCTAACGGATAACACATCAATCTGTTCATACAAGTCATCGGCAATATGGATAGGATAATTATGTGTAAACCTTTTTTAAACATACCAATAGCCCCTGACTGAAGACATCAAACTATTCTTGGAACTTGTACCATCCAAGGAATAATACATTAAAAGTTCTGAGCTCACAACCTAGTTTTGTGATGTTCATAGAAATGACGTCGGGTGTAGTTTCTGCATGTTTCTTTATTTAAATACAATCAATAGTCGGGAAACTTACATGTACTTCATTGTGACAACTTAGCAATTAGTTCAGTGCTTTGGGCGAAGTAGATATTCTCCATAACCAGTGCGTTTAATTTTGATTTTGGGAATACCTTGCACTTTTCAACAGGCAAGCAGAGTTAGCGCCCTCCTCGAACTATCCTAACAATGCAGTTTTGTGTGATAACTTTCATAACGATTAGTCCATGCAGGAAGTAAATGCACTGTAAGTCCCCATGGTCCCTAGTATGGTGATCTCCCTTTAGTTCCTGACCATCTCTAGCCCATTTTTATATTGTGTTATTAACTCATTCTTTCTGCTTTTAAATGTTCCTCAACTAGTTTTAAATCTAATCTGTTATAGATGACAGGTTTTTATAAAGTCTAAATATATGTATTATTAATGTATAACTTCTCGTCACGGTATGGCTGAAATATTGCCAATGTGACGTTAAATATTAACTCACTCACTCACTCATTCATAACGATTACTGAAAGTATTCCTCTTAAATCATTCAGATGTAGTTGCCGAAAAGAGTCGTTAACAAACCTAATTCAGTCACAAGGTGTCGCATGTAAAAACAAAAAGATTTGGAATAAATGATTGACACATCCCAGCATGTTTTCAACTAGACGTATCTACGTTTTCGTACAGTAATTCTTACACTGATGCAGAAAGAAATTTCAGTTATTGCAGTGTTGAGCTAGCTGACTTCATATAGGACGAGTAATATAACACCTGGACTCAACTGTTCAGTTGCAAAAACAAGGCACCGATTTCTCTGTCTTGGAGCACAGTCAAATATGCTGGTCCAACGAATAGCGCCTCAGCACATCTCACATGTATTCACTTAGTCCCGCGAACGCACGGCCCTGGAGCATGTGAACCTCCAGGTGTATGCACTTCGAGCGACATCTTTGTTTTATAGGGGCGGTCGGGTAGCCTAGTGGTTAAAGCGTTCGCTCGTCACGCCGAAGACCCGGGTTCGATTCCCGACATGGGTACAATGTGTGAAGCCCATTTCTGGTGTCCCCCGCCGTGATACTGCTGGAATATTGCTAAAAGCGGCGTAAAACCATACTCACTCACTTTTTGTTTTATATTGTGTATTTATTACTTACATTATCGCGATATTATCTTACTACACGTGGCTCTATACGTTATTGGTAATAATGTAACTCTGTGCGAAATTCAAGCAAGTGCTTTCAGTTACAATTATAGGAAACCTAGAACACTGACATTTGTCTTCTTGTATTGACAGGGCTCGAATGCAGGGTATGGTGAATATAACAGGTGATTGTTTTGCCGCATCTATGCTGGATCACTTCTTTCCATACACGCCCGTTGAGCAGTCCATACACGCAGTCGTCGAGGATTCCAGGATCACTGACGATGACGCCTTTAGTCCGGATACCGATGTATAAGACGCGCAACATTCTCTCAAGTAGCTTGTATGACATCGCACTACACCAATAACAAAAGCATGCATGTGGGCAGAGCAGGCTAGAGGTTTCATGGACAAGTGATGCCACCCATTTGAATTGCCTTCTGATTTATGCCTATTAACTATTAATCAGATGTTTGTTTTTGTCAAATGACCTTTCACGTCTGGGATCACCACTCTCTTTGCGACTCTCCGGGATCACTATGACAGCCAGAACGCAACTGCATATTGTCCACAGAAGGGTCACTGGACAGTACTACCGACACAACATACGGGCACGAATAGTTGTGCCGCGTGCACACCATGCTGGTCCAAGTTTTGTCTTTCGAAAAGAAAACGCCCACCGTGAACATATCATTACTCTCCGCCCCCATCTGCAAAACATCACCAGAATGCAATGGCCAGCAATGAATCCTCGCCTTCGTCCCCCCCCCCCCCCCCCCCCCCCCTTCCAAGAACAACGTTAATCACGGTGTGGACAAGAGTCTCTTAAATTGTCATTGGGAGGCAGAAGCCACTATTGATCAAATCATCTCAAACTTTATGTGTCGCTACACACCCTTGTCGTTTTTCTTGGTTGTTAATACACCGCAAACTAGTTCTATTATGTCCTGTTCCATCTAGTCCTTCATTGTTTTCTTAACCATCAATTGAAATCACTCGATACCTCTTTGTATTTCTGTAACCATCTGTTATTTTCGAATATCCCTTAATGTTTTGTAGAGTATTCATAAGAGATGGGATTATACTTATAGTGGTATTGGTAACTGTGTTTCGAAATCTTGACTTTGTACCCGTATTCGGTGTTCTATTACCAAGCTTATTTCACAACTATATGATATATAGCATTGTTGCCTATGCAGGGTACTAGGGCCTTATCGTGTATGAATTTTAGCGCCGAATGAGAACCGTATAACAAGACGTTCATGGAAACAGGATAGGAGTCACATTCAGGATCATTTGAAATACATGTAGTTGTACTACTTTGTCGTGCCAGTTACATTTGTAACACTGGGGAAAATTTTGGTCGAAAAGCTGTTTTCTTGCTTTTTAGTGTATTTATTTTAAACAGGATAAAAGTGCATTTGAACAAAGGAATGAAGCAGTAAAGTGTACCCACTGTGGCAGTGGGTTTCGTCCATCGACCCCAGTACAGGGAATGCTTATGAGCGTTTACATCTATTTACACGCCTGCGTAAAGACCGTAATCCCTTAAGAATGCTATATAACATTTATCGTGTCGTCATCATAAATAACATTGTTGGGAGCTGATCTGATAACTTTTTGGATCTTTACTGGCTATGTCAGCATCATAGCTGTCTGTGATGCAAACATGTTAACACTATTAAAACCATATTCACAATATATGTTGTGTTTTGTCATATTTTTACACGTGGTGATACATCGTGGTGCGTGGTACTGCGCATAGCGCACAAGAGATAAAAGCAGAGAGATGAACCACTGACTTGACATCTAAGCGTTTCAAGGTCTTGAACCACAGGTTATTTAACAAGCGCCTTTATTTGAAACGTATCTCTGTTCGCTCAGTAGTAAATGAGGGTGTTACTAAAAAGGCGTGAGTTGACATAACCTGTCAAAGATATGAAGAAGAAGGCAGACTGGGCGCCAGACGGATCGCTAAAAGTTGTGTAGCGCGATAAACACCGGAACCCGGTGGCGGAGAACCCGTTTAACCCCAGTTGCGGAGAATTCGTTTTAATCCAAGTGGCGTTTTACGCTGTTTCCGTTTACAAATTTCATTTTGATCAAGCATGTGTGGCTACGTATGTCCTAAGGTATATTAAATATATAATTAAAATCTACTGAGTTGCTGTGTTGAGTCTACTTGCCTGTCAAGGTAGCTGTTGTCTACGTCCAGATTGCACGTATGTAGAACAACAGTAATACTTCATGATCCCTACCCTCTCCCTCGAAACATAAATCGCAGCACGGCGACCCGGACACTCAAGCGGTGAAACGCACATTGCGAACGTCTGAGGACTGTAATACTTTCCCCCACATAAACTTATACACCTTGAAAGAACCGACATAATGCCAATTCACTCACAACATAAACGGAGGGGGAAATCAACTGATACTCAGATGGTAATTGAAGCAACCTGTGAAGTCAGAGAAACAGTCTGTTAATTGTTGCAGCAAACCCTGACTCAGGTCTTCTTGTACCACATACTTTCAAACAAGGCACTGCTATGGACGTGTGAATTTGGGGGCATTTAACTGTGAGTACTTCTACCATGAGTACATTTAACAATGAGTACGTGTGATGGTAGTTGTGTCACTGTAGCGATACTATTGGCATGGTGAATGAACATCTAAATCATTTGAAATAATTTTCCAAATTCTAGTTCCACAATGAGCTCAAAAGGGAATAATGAATGAAACATTAAATCAAAATTCTTCTCTAAAGCTGAGGTCTCCAGGTTTGCTTCAATTAGAACAAGAAAAAGGAGCTTATCAACACGGCCAAACTTAAAAGCTAACCTGTGATGATATCCTTGTCCCCAGTTGTTTACAATACACATTCTTAGAGCACTGATGTTGCTGTACGCAGAGACTAGTTCCATCTATATGTGTTTTAGCGTTTAAAGAAACTACAAACAACATCTTTCATTGTCTGGTTCAGCGGCTGATGTAGTATGTGAGAAGTCTGCAATCCCTGCTCACGCTAATAAATTAACAGTTATGCTGTTGTTGATAAACTGGACTGACACAACTAAGTAATTAGGTATTTGCTTTATGCTTGTATATATGTTTGTGGATGTGGCAGTGCTCGTTAAATGTGAATAGATGGGAAACAAAGACACATATATTTTATGACTGATGAAATTGTGCCTTGATATGCGACATGGGCAAATCTTCTTTGTTTCCGCGCAGTCTTGATGTGTACATTTTGTTAAATGGTTCATATCTTACATGTATGGTTGGAAGCAAATGAAAGGCACCACCCAACATTTATTAAACAACACATAGTGTCGGCTGCACTTGAAGCACTACCCTCCGGCCTGTCCGTAAGAGTTACTTAATGGGTAGACTGAGAAGAAGGCACCTCAAAGTGTTGGAGAGCCCCGGCTGTTTTTTTTCAGTTTCTTTTTGTTTCCTTGATGTTTTTATGATTCTGGGTCCAATGGTACATTTGAAGGTTGTGCTGATTATACAGCCTCCGTTTGTGAGGCTGATGATGTTTTTATGGTATCATCTGGGGATGTTTGGGCTCTAATATCTACTATGTTCTGCTGAGTACTGACCGAAGAGATATTTGTTTGGTATCCGGTAGATGATGTAGCAACTTTGACAACCGGATTGGAAGATACTGCTGCTGAGTAGGATTTAGTCGAAGTTTTTGGTGATTGATACTGAACTAATATTTTGGCATCATGAAAAGAGATATTGTTAGTGTGTTTAATTTTTAGTATTTTTGATTGACAAAGTGGCCCCCATCGCAATGGGCACATTTAATTGCATCTGTGCACTCAATACTCTAATGTGAGCCGCTGCATCGCACACAGACTTTACTGAGGGTGCAGGTCGTGGCACTGTACCCCAAATTTTGACATTTGTAACATCGGTGTGTTTTGTAAAAAAAACTCCACTCCGATATTAAAATACCCAGTTTTGATAGAATCAGGAATTTTCGAAAGTGAAAATGTAAAGAGATAAGTGTGTGTTTGGAAAACAGTGTCATTTATTTTTCTTGTGAATCGTTTGACAGCTGTAACCTCCGTAACAATCTCATGTTCACTCATGTCAGGCAGACACCGGGCTCTGTTTCTGACGATGCCTCGACATGAGTTTAACCTTCTGTGTCCTGAGACAGCAACCTCTACATTTGCAAATTGGCTGAGCAATAACAGTTCAGTGATTGATGTCTCCGTACACACTCCACAAGTATGGAGCCATTACGGAGGCGGGTGACTTTTTAACCTCACCACAACAGCAATTGATGGATTTCGAAATGGCAAACAGGTTAATTTCATGGGTAGATGATCTGATGCTTCAATGACAATGAATCGAGCCCAGGAATCCAATCATAGATCAATGTGTTCATCACATGAGCTAGCATCTACATGTACGCGTTTTCTCTTTGAACCAGAGTGTTTTTGAGACATTATGAGAGATGGTGGTTCTGCACCCCTGCTCCCCACCCTACATCGAGACGAGTGTCAACAAGGACGGTGTCGTATTGCATTGGATGCAAAATGCAAAACACCAGGGCTACAGGGGTGGTATACTACAGCAAATATCACATGAATAGCTATATTCGTGTACTACATTTACAGCCAAGCTGGTTCTGCCCATAACAATAATTTAATGACATACAATATTCAACATTACCAGGTTGGCCTTCTGGCAAAGGACTCAAGGCAAAATTTTATTTCAATTAATTGTGTTTTCAAAGACCAAGCAATACATTTATGAAAAATAGAATACATGTAAGTGCAAAAAGAAGAATTGGAATTATTACGCACATGGTTTGATAGAACCAGGCCCATTCTCCCACCCGTCTAGGTGAAGTTAGGGTCAAAGTAGTGTGTTGGGCAAAGGAACTGTAGTCCTGGAACCAGTGCCCTCAAATAACAGACTCCCTTCCTCCACCGACACAGGGGCACGATCCACAGCAAACGGGTTGCCCAATTCGTTCGCCTCTTACGACCAGCAATGGGGTGCTTGGGGCACATTTTACTCTGGGTCCCCACGGGGATCTTTTAAAAAGTACAATATTAAATAAGAATTAACATGACTTAAAGGGTCCTTTTTTTAACACTGATATATTTTTCACTTGTGATGGAAGAATCAAATCAAGCAGGACATGTTTGACTGTGATGCTTTCATCACAAAGGGATACAAAACGGAGGATCCTCACTTTTCAATAAATATTCATGAGTATATCTGCTGTGACCAATACGACATCGTCGCATAATATTATGTCCTCTTCAAACCTGGACTGACACCTCAAGTAGGTCATTTATTGATACCTACCAATGATACCAACATGGCTTGGTAACCAACAAAAGACTATGTAATATTGGCAAGAAGCAAGATCCTTAAATAATTCAAGAATTTAGATTAAAAGAGGAAGTTTACATGATATATTTTAAAAGCCTGAAGACACGAAAGAAAATTTGAAATGATAATGAATTGTTAATGTTTGGATTGATTATTGATATATATTAGTGCTGTTAAAATGGCGTTTGCTTCTACTGTGAATATGGAACTGTTATCTAGTAATCGTGTGTGAGTGAGTGAGTAAATATTTAACGTCACATCGGCAATATTTCATCCATGTTGTGACGAGAAGTTAAACATTAATAATACATATTGTAATAAAAACCCGTCATCGATGGACAGTACAATAAGAAGAATATCACAGATTCTATGTAGAATTAGTTGGAAACATGTACAACAA